CAACTTCGAAAAAAAAAAATTCTTTTCACTGCTCTTATTGCTTTTCTATATAGTCAAAAAAATGAGATTTTTATATTGAAAAGAAAAGAATAAAGATTCATGTGGGAAAAAAAATCTTGACTTGAATTCTATCCACATTCAAATTTAACCTTTGTGTTGTAGATATACTTACAGTTATGTGTTTGCCAATACTAACATGTAAGTGCACTTTTAAAAGGAATGCAAGTAAAACTCATCGAGATGGAATATATCTTGTGAGAACGGCAGACAGTCGACTTTTAAGGGATTAAAGGTTCTATAATTTGGAGTTATTGCCTGAGATGAAAAAGATTTAAGGGAAAAATTGAAAATTTAATGTTTGAAACGTGTTTTTTGCAGGATTTCAGTATCAAAAAGTAATTCGCCTTACTTTCGAGTTGGAAATACAGTGTGAAAAACTAAGAAGCATAAAATCAATGCCCAGCTGATCTCCTACGTCACTTAAACATTTAAAAAACCACCCTCGAATCCAAAAAAATATTTGCATACAAAGCACATCCATAAACTTATTTTCAACAATTTCAAGCATAATTTCAGACTTCTGAACTACAAAACAAAATCTTCTCCAAGTAGTTTCATCCATTCGCTACAACATGCAGTGAGCACATTGCAATGATGTAAGAGAACTACGACGTGAATATGCAATTCCATGTAACATAAATTGAATTTTCATTTAAGGTTGAAGTTTATGGTTCAAAGATTATTGAAGTATTAGAGAGGAACTTCAATAGAATATTTTCGATGTCACTAGCATTATCGATGTTCACTTCTCGATGCATTTTTAATATAATCTAAATATCAAGTGTGTTATCATGTTAAAAAAATTGAGAGTTATTCGATATGGATATGTGTAAAACCCATTTAATGTCATGTGAAAATTCATAATTTGATTTGATATGGAAGCGATGAATGCGACGAAGTGAATGTTGTACAGTAAGTGTCAATTTTGTTTGATTTGAGTGGTGACATACATGAGCATTGAAATATTGTGAATATTATTATGATTTTTTTGGTTAACAAATGTCAAGGTTTCATAAATTTGTCTATTGATGTTATAGAGCTTAAGTTGGATAACTACTTGAATTTACGTATCTAATTTCTCAGAAAGTGTCAATGTCCAATAACTTCTACTATAATGCGTAAAAGGTTTCTTGTGACGTTTGTTCATCGAATGTTCTGGTTAATTCCAACCTTCCACGAATTCAAAATAAAACTGCCAATTTTCTGATTCTCTTTCACTTTTTAAAGACTACCATTTAAAATTTAATGATTTCTGATCCTAAACATTAAGATTATATAATTGTTCCTCACAAAGTCATTGTTCTAATTTTCTTTTAAAACTTTTTCTCATTCAAAAAGGTAAAAGCACTTGTGACACTTTTTATTTCAAATTCTTCATCTCTTCTATTTCACAAAACCCCCCAAAAAATGTACAGCCATACTTTATTGACACTAGAAAAAGTATAAAATGAGTGAGTGAGATGATTGTGATGTGATAAGAATTTATTCCGTCTTCAATCATATCATAGACGCACACACATGTAAAGACTGTGAAAAAATTAAGAAATCATAACACGTCTGACAAATAGAATGTGATGTGTTGGGAAATTATAATTGGAGATTCAGAATTCGAGACATTTTGTGCTGTCCTTCTCATATTTTCCCCTTTGTTTATGAGTTTTGTGAAACTCTTTCTTATCTCTTTCCTCCTAATTTTGCCTTATTGTCACAATATTTTTTTTTCTCCTTTTTACAGCTTCTGCCTTGCATTTTATGGACCGAAAATTGTATATATAAAAAGTCAACAAACTCTGACAATGATGAGAATATCGTGTTTTTCTAAGTTTTCATCCTTAAATTTTTGTTCATGAGATGGCTTTAAGTGGAATTGACAAGGTTCTTACAATATTTTTTGATAAAAAAAGGTTCAATTTTGACTTTAACAATTAACTTTGCTATTGAAATTTTAGTCACATATTTTGTCATATAAAGACTACTTTTAAGACCCTCTCCAAGCTATAAATCGTAAATGTACTTACCTTTGCTATAATAACCTTAAATCTGCATCAAATTCTCCAGCTTTCTTCAAATAAAACCGTGCACTAAAACGTTTAATTCACAAACAAAAATTAAAACAATCAAAATTATTTTGCAGTAAAAGTTCACTTAGACCAAACCGATTAAAATCTTTACCAAATTCATTGACATGTCTGCTTTTATAGATGTAATTTATAACAACACTTCAAATAAAAAGTGTTAAAAATTTTCATAACAAACCTTGTTTTACATGCACTTAAGTACGATCTGCTCCAATAAATTTCTCATCCAGAGAATTAATTCATAGTCAGGTTGTTAAGCTGTATAAATATTTTATTATCTTTTACGAAGAGATTTTGATATCTTTTTTCTTCTGCAAATAAAATGGATGGAAAGAGTAAGAAGCTACTTGACCTCAAAAATATATACTTCATTGCTCTGCTGTACCGATTTCATGAGAGACTTAAAAGTCTGACATTTCTATACCTTTAACACCATAAAGTTTAAACATTATAGACGTGAACAGAGCAAGATGGAAAAAGGTCAGCGATGCGAATCAGATGGAAAACCAGTCGTATTTTAACATACACACTTCTGCTGGGTATGAACGAAAAAAAATCAGTGAAAAAAATATGAGCTTAGCTGAAATGGCATTTTTTACACGTCTCTGATCGAAATTCCATCTCTTGTCTTATTTTATTGTCGTAGAGCTTTTAATGCCTTTGAAATTTCGAGCTAATGCTGCTACATGATAAGACAAATGCTGTCAATGATGATGACATACTCCATACAGCTTTCCATATACATTTCGTGTGTTATCTTCATCTTGAGAATTATTTTTACTCCGGCTTGTCTGTCTCTATTGCTTTACGTCTCACACAGATTCATTCGCTCACTGTCTTTACATTTTTACGCGTGCATGATTTATTTAAATTGATGTAAATAACAAAGCAGTGCTGATGCTATGCCAGGGATGTAGCTAGAAATTTTAAGAACTGATTTCGGTACGGAGTGGATGTTCAGGTTTAAGCAACATTAAAATAAAGGAAATGTTAAGTTTAATTGCCTTCTTACTCGGAAGGACAACTTAAAATGCTGAAAATAAAAAACAAATCCACACGCACACAAAAAATTTGAATTTGGAAACTCAATCGTAAGCAAAATCCGAAAAAAAGGTCATTTGGAAATGCCGATAATGTATAAAAATTGCTAACACAAGAAGAAAGAAAAAAAAGAGACACATAAGCTGAGATTAATGTTGAGATACATAAAAGGCAGAATGCATAAAGCAATTTTTCGAAACGTTTATTTTTCATTTTAATTTCATCAATCTTATGCCATTCTTATAATCTTTTTTTTTGGGTTTGTTCTTCTTCTTAAATTTAGATTTATGTATAATAATTATAATAATCTCTCAAATATACACATCGAATGTAAGTTTCATTTTTCTTAATTTTTAAAATATACACTTAAATCACTGCTATGTCCATTTTCTCATTACTTCATCGATATGCTTGTCATAATTTTAATTTTCATTTATGTTTTCCCACAATTTTAATGACATAACATCGATTTGAATATTCAGGTTTTAATGGCTGAGAAGCTGACAATTAAAATATTTTTCAAAACTTAATTTTTTAACAAAGCATGAATTTTGCTTCATTTCCGAGGTTTGAAAAGCTTTTTGATGTTGAAGATTTCTGTTGATCTAACCCAACCTAATTAAAATTAATTACTTTTAATCAAAAATTTCTTAATAATCTCTAAAAACAACATCAAAGAGCCTTGAGCTGCACTGTCCACTTCTTGATAATTTCTTTTAATTTATCCCTTAACTTTTGAAGCATTTAATTGATAAATCAAGAAGACCATTGGCTGCATAAATTAGATATTTGATATAATTACACCTTATACATCTCAATTAAGATAAATATTGATTTTTAAAAAATTCTGTATTCTCAATTGCTAATCAACACCTTCGTTTGTGTATCAAAGAACTGTAAAGCTCGATCAAGCACTTCTCGCTTGTTAAGCGAACTGCTGGAAAGAATGTATAAATTTCAAATATCTCAAAGAAATTCCGCCCACGAAGAAAAACATTCTTGATTGCTTTGTAAATCTTCGATGGCAAATTCAAGTAGAATTTTAATTACTTAAATAAACATTCTCTTTGTTTTGTTTGCTGAATATTTTCAATTTCCAATTCAATCAGAAAAATAAAGTTTTTTAAAAGAATTCCTGAATATTTTTTTCGAATATTATGTCAACTTTTCGTTATATCTGAAAATATATCGTGGGAAGACCTTAAAACTTACATTTTGTGATATTGGATTGAAGTTTTGGGTTGAATCTTTTTAAGCTGAATTAGTAATGATCCTAAATACACAATCAACATTTAAATTTTGGTAAGATTTGAATTATTTTAGGACATTGAATCCAAGTAAACCAAGTTTGAAATGGTTTGATCAGCTCGAAGCTAATCTAAGTTTTTGGATGAGATGAGATATTTATTCTGATTATATTTTCTAGCATCAGTTCAACCAAAAACTTCATGCCAACTTCACAAAAATCTCAAAAAATTTCTTCATTTTTACGAATTTTAATTTCATTCGATTTATTTTGACTCGTTTTTAGCATTTTTTGTTTTGTTTTTTTCATTAAGAAGAAAAGGAAAAGTTACATAATTCGAAGAGATTTTATTTAAAAAAGTTTTTTTTGTATTTTTTTGAGAAATTCTTTTCTATCAAAAAACGACGATTGTAAGGAAAAAAATTGACAGCTTTTATTTTCATTGTGTGAGTATTTAACAATTTTTTTTAAATCATTTTCTTCATTGTCATATTAATTTTTTTTTTGTATATGTATAATATCATCAATATCATATTATATATAAATATATTAAAATTTAATTTTTTTTTCTTCTTGTTTCATCTCACTTTAATTAAATTTAAAGCTTACATCAATAATAGAAAAGACTTGAAAGTAGAAAATGGTAGACATTGTGTTGTTATGATGCATATGATAAGATTCAAGATGTAGAACCATATCTTAAATTGTGGAACACCGCTGCTGCCAAGTGCTGCCATTCCAACGGTTGATGGTGATGAATGTGTTGTTGATGGCTCGGTGGTTTTAACATCAACTGTGTTTATGTATTAAAAACATTTTTAAGATTATTAATTTCTTCCTTGAAACATAAACAAATGTCATGAATATTAAAGGAAAAGAAAAACAATAAATTATAAATTATGGAGCACAAATGATGATGCCGTGGCAGAGAGATGATCGAAAAAAAAGAAGCAAATTTGTATTCCTTCATCTCATAATTTCATTTTATTTTCAAAAGTAATTAAAACTTTTTCCTTCCTTATCGCTTTATGCAAACGGGGTGAAATGAAAATGAAAAACTTTCTTTTTTGACATCTTTTATTTCTTCTGTCTAATCAATCCATTTGACGTCTTAATTCTGTTGCCATTCTGTAAAGTCAATGAAATGTGAAAAGAATTTTTTTCGAAATTTCAGTTCTGTTGTTGGAACCAAGAAAAAAATATATTGAAAAGGTTTATTCCAAGTTATGCAAGACGTTTAGAATTAATTGACTTTAAAAAATTTATGAATTTTTATGGTTTTAAATTTTGGAGTTTTCTTGATTTTTTTTAATTTTTTATATGGCTTCAACCTTTATAGGAATTCTTAGGTTTAGTCCTTTCAACAAAGATAAGTTTCCAGACGTTTCTATTCATGTTGCTGCTTAGGCATCAAATATTAAAGTCTAGTCAGTGTTCAACTAATCTATTCAATCTTGAGTAGGCGCGGAACAATTATCGCGTTACTTAATAAATCACGGCCTTTCGTTATCGACGACATTCTATATAAAATGATCAAGCATGTCATTCATGTCTTACTGTCTACATTGAATTAGTGAAACAAAAATGTTCAGCGTCACATCCTTTTCAGACAGAAAAAGTTTTTAAGGAGAAGAAAGGACACGAAAAAGTTTGTTTCCTTTGTCATCCATTATTCGCCTCCTTTATTTACATTTATTTGAATTTTTTATGCGGACCCAAACTTCAGTTCTACGAAGTTCAATTCAATTTTATCGATAAATTGATGAATTAATTTCGAAAAGTTTCAATCGAAAAAAAAGGGAAACAATAAAGAAAAAATGAATTCGTTAATAAAATTTCAATAGAAATGTAAAAGTTTATTTTTTTGAGTGGGTCATATTGGAATTACGTGCGGGACATGAAAAACAATTTATTTGAGAATTACATTACTTCATTAAAAAGTTCTTTTTGTTCTGAACTTTCAAAGTTACGAATTGTGTTTTATTGTGAAATTAAAGAAGAAAATCAACTTAAAATGCTGATTCGTTGGTTGTTGCCAAGTTACATAAAAGCTAACTTTTTGTTTGTTAAGAAATCCCACAGAACTAATTCTTTGAATTTTCGGAAGGAGTTATTCATAAGGAAGGTCCATTAAAAAATTATTGACCTGCGCTAAGCTTCAGAAAATTGTTCAGAATTCTTCAAACAGTTTGTCAACAAAATAAATTCCAAAAACCTACAGCAATTTACTTTTTAAATCGGACATAATACGCGAATAGCCTTAAAATTCTCCTACAACAAATGTCTATTCATGCGTAACTTTCTTTGTAATTCTTGTTGCTAAGGTAGCTTTAAATTGAAAGCTTTCTTGTGAACAAAAAATGTTTCATGAACTTCACAAGAATTCTTCTCCTACTTAAACCTCTTCAATTAGAAATATTCCCTTGCGATGACCTCATAAGTCCCACTTGATGAAATTCTCACAAAAGATAAATTTATTCAGTCCTTACTTATCAGTACTTGTTCAATTATCCAATCAAATACTCAGTCATTTCAGAAAAACTCATAATTAATCCAAACGAACGATGAACTTTTTATAAAAATAAAAGACGAAAAAAATGCAAATCCAGTTCATAAAAAGCGAGGAAGGCACACAAAAAAAAATTGTTTATCGCATTCAGGAAATTCCTTTCGCTTTCATTTTCATTTCCCTTTATCACTCTCGTTAATGTTAGTCTAATTAAAAAAGGTCGTTCTCTATTTATGCCTTTACATCTCTGTATTCTCTCATTTTCATAATTTTCTTCCTACTCTATGTCTGATATCAAAGTCACAAAAGTGTACTGTCGTGTTGATAACAAACAACAAAAATTCAAACAACTCTATCATTCTCTGAGGCTATAATAACAATTTTCTGCTATCGCGTAGCTGTGCTCCTTTGGATTTTAGAAGTGGGGAGGTCGATAAGAGTGGAAGTGAAATTTGATGATGAATTTCTCAGTAGAGGAAATTGGAAAATACTTTATAGCTTTAACGCAATTTCAGCTACTGTAAAATTATGTAAAAAATATCATTTATCGTCATCTCCTCTGCCATGGAGACGTAAACAAAGAAAACGAGTCGATAAAGTCACTAAAAATATCTTCAAAAGTGCAGATAAGAATACTCACTTTTAATGCTGTATGACTTATAGTCTGCAAACATCTCATCAGGTGGTGATATCTTTCCGGGTATCGTGCTAAGGCACGAAATTTCAAGACGTCCATTCGAGTCAGCATGTAACTCTGAGACCTGAATACTCAATTGACTACTCGAATATGTCGGGCGATTCATTACCATTTTAATGCTATTGGATGTTTTGGAAGTTTTCGGCTCATTTAAATGCCTCCGAATTTTATGGAATGTATTCAAAGCATTTCGGCTATTAAGGTCCAGTGAGGATATTTGTTGTGTTGTTATGATGGTTAAATTGATGAAATGAGGAGAGAAAAAAAAATGGAAGGAAAATTTATTAAAATTTATTTTGCGCTGACCCAAGAGAAAGAAAGCTCAAGTTTTTTTATAAAGTGAAATATTTTAATAAACATTGAGGTTGTTAAATAAAGTACGAGAATAAATTTTGTTATTTTTTCATTCAAGAATCGTGTCTAAATGTAATCTTTTCTTCGTTGGTTTGATAAAAGCTCTTGTAAATGTTCATACTTTTTTGAATGAAAAGTTTATGGTTGGTCTGTAGAAATTATTTTGTTCGTGGCCAATGTCTGTAAACAAGATCTTATTTTTCGATTTCGAAGGATCTTATTTTTCGAACGCGGGAAAAAAATTTGAATTCAAAATGTTCGTTATGAAAATTTGTTTACATTTTCAATTCAAAAATTCGAAATTTTTTAAAATGGTTAAAATTTGTGCAATTCAAAGCTGTAAAGGAAGAGGAAATAGCAACATCCCCATATTTGAACTTCCAGAGAGTTCGATACATCGAGGAAAATGGATCGACTATTTAAAATATCATGAAATTCAATATATTCAGTCAAAAAAGTATTTTTTGTGCGTTCTTCATTTTTGTCACTCTATGGTAAATAGGAATGCAAAGAGAGTACGATTAAATGCGGATGCATTTCCATCTCTTGTAAGTATATACAAAAAATGTTATTTCAAGGAAACTATCGATAAGCTTATTAAAGCATTTGTTGAATTCAGGAAGAAGTTACAGTATCAGGGTCGCTTTATGCATAAAAGAAATGAATTTGCCTCAAAAAATAATTAAATTTTAAAGTTAATAAAAATTTTAATGATTTCCAAAATTACTAACGTATTTTTAATTTTCAAATATGACAAAATTACTAACGTATATTTGTTTTTTAAAATTGATCATTTACGAATTTTTTCAAAATTTTCGAAAGCCAACTGATATTTATTCTGTTTACAGACATTGGGTTCGTGGCAAGGAACTGATATTTTTTGAGAAAGTTTAACATTATAAAATTAAAATTCATGGTTTAAGACTGAAACTTTGGCAACAAAATTGAAAATCTTAAATGATTAAGGTTCGTTCTACCTTGAAAGAGGGTGTTGGGCTGGTTTCATGTGCTACTCTGAAAACCCTACAAAGTGATTTATTCCAGTATTTCCAAATCAAGTTTAGGGTACTTCAGGGAGCCTTGATCTTAAGCTTTAGAAAGGAAGAGTCCCAATTATCAATACACATGAGAAGCTGCATCCAGAAAATAAACGATTCATTTCTTAAAGCTTCAAATAGAAAGCCATGCCTTCATAAAGCCTCTGTTTCATTCAACACAACTAAATTAATATTTATTAGTCGGAAAATGTTGATTACGAGCAAATACAAAGAGTCGCTATGTACTCAAACCTATTTTTAAACACAGAGGAAAAGTTCAGATATTTATAATTAGTAACAAGCGCAAAACAAAGCAAAACCACGTAAAAGCTACACGTGTCATAAAATAATTGTGAAAGCATGTTACATCCGCTTTTTGTTACAGTTAATTAATTGTTTAAAATTTATTAAATAGAAATAATTTTATATTCATAGAGTTGACAAAAGGAGGATTTAAATTAAGTTAGGATGTTATGTTGGGAGGTTGCTAGAATTTATTTATACATCGCGATATGCTTACAATTATGATGAAATTTAGACTTCAAGATTTTTTGAAGCTTTTTATTTCGACTCACTCAGCCTTAGAGACAAGAATATAAATAAAATCATGATTGTTCTGAGCCTATTCAACTCTGTTGCACAGATCAAAGCATTTGGATCAAGTTTTAAAACAGCTCCCCAGCATCCCCATAGCATTATTCTTTAAAATTTAATGTCATTTCTGCGTAAAAAATTCATAATGTTTCCATTAAAGTCTGTTCAAGAATCCTTTTATTTCATTAACATTTCAATCCATTAAGACAATACACGAAGTATCACATTTGCTTAATATTTTTCCACATTTAATTTCTGTAATAACACAAATGAAATCTCATCAGTCGAGCCAGATTTCTGACATAACAAAAAACTTTATTTCTTTATTCAAACATTTTTAGAGCTTGAAAAATCTTTAATACCTCCTAATTGAACAATAAAGATTATATGCGATCGTTGAGAAAGTTTTCATTACAAACATTAAGAAGCTCGAGAATCATCTCAATATTCACTTAAGTGCGTTTCAAAATCTGACTTGACATTTTCTCAAGATGATTATGATTTCAAAATTTCAAGTTAAGGATATAAAGCTTCATTTTTCTTATTCTTGATCATCGCATCAGAAAAATGAAAATATCACATCAAGTTTGTTTCGCTCAAGATGTCTGACAGAATGTATGGGAGGTAAAGTCATTAGGAGCTGTATAATAAATGATGTGAGATTGAATTGAAATTAAGGAAGAAGGATTTGATTCTCATTCTTCTAGAAGTTACATTCGAGATTGAAAAACGAGGAGTTTTAAAGCAGGAAAAATTTATTTCTTTAATAAAACTTAGATTTTTAAAAGGTCGTTCAACTTTTATGTTGTTGGGTCTGTAGTTATGAATGTAGGGAGGGAAAATAAGCGAATCTTTTTTGGGTTGTTGCCACTTATGTTCGTCTTTGCGACACGCAGTAATATGCTAGTGTCTCGCGGAATAAAGTATAACAAACACTGCCTTTTACAGACAAATCTTAAGTTTATAATTGAATATTTTATGAATTAACATCTTTTACAGTCGAGTTTTCTTGAATTTCGAGCCAATGACTTTTCATCTTAATTTATTTAAAATTCAAAAGACCTTGAATAAAGTTATTACATTTATCTTTAAGTACGTATCATCTTGACATGATTAAAGACTCAAGAACCTCAAAAATCACATTACAAATTTATCAAGTCAGACATTGACAAATTATGATCGCATGTGTCGAGGAAATTTGAACTAAATAAAGCATGTTAATTAACTCGTATGTATTTGGCATTTTTGGTTTTTCATAACACACAGGAAGCAGCACAAGGAATGTTTTAATTTATGCGAAATTTATATAGAGAAGGGAAGCACTTCATGCATTCGACATGAAAGAGGTGGAGTCTGACTGGTCACATCAAAAATTTCCATAATAATCAAACATCTGCATCATCGATATAAATGTACATCAATGTATGTATGTACTGAGACAGGATAACATTCATGAAATGTGAAATGAATTAAGTATAAGCCATATAGCCATATGCTACCTCCATGTATCACGGGAAATGTCAGTCTATATACATACATCTAGTTCATTCTCATTTGATAGATTCATGTCATGCTTGCTACTACTAACTGACCAGTTCAGTTATAGTTTGAGATTGAAGTTTATGTTGAGTCACGAATCTACATGAAGAATTACTTGTTAAAGCAACACAGGGGAGAGAAAAACAATGATTTAAAAGCTTTATCGAAACCTAAATCATCAAATGTACACATACCCACGCACATATAGAGTCGTACGGAAAACATGAACAAAATTGTTTTTTCTGCCTCGTCATGAAAGCAACTTTTTGTGGATTATTATGTGGAATTGAATTTCCATAAAATTGAAATTCATCAAAAATAGATAAAAATATATGAAAGTCTTTGGACTCGTGGGATGCATTCAGCGCATTTTTATCGATAAATAATTCATGTCAGATGCTTTTATGGAAATTTTCAAGTGGTTTTTTGAATCCTACACAAAAGTTTGAAAGATTTATGAATGGAAAAAGTTTCTATGAGAAAGAACATTAAGAGTCAAATGATTTACAATGTTTGTGCCATTGTGGGTGGTTTTAATCTTCATCTCAAAAGGATGGATTGACTTTGAGAAAATGTCGTTTGAAATATAGCTGCTATTCAAATCAGGAACATATGTTGGTAGTTCTAGCATCCTTTCTGAAGTTTCATTTATCGTATTAATGTAGGTGATACCATAATATACCCTAAGGACATACACAGGGATAAAAAATAATTAAAAATCAGAATCTGAATTGATTGGTTGAGAATATTCAAATTTTCAAGCTCTTTAGTATGAACTAATGCCATTCAGCAACTAAATTAAACCACTAATGACCTCATCTCATCCTCTATATCCATTCCCAAACTCACATTTAATTAAGTTTTCATAATTTTTAATGCATAACTGGCGATGATTAGTTGACATAGCATAATTAATGAGATGAACAATTTGTAATTAATAATATTCAAAATATAATATGTGAAATTAATTGCATAAAAATTACCAAAGCTTTCACTTCCTTTATTAAAAATCAATGATGATTCGACCATAATTATGTTATGCTAAAAATGTGAGCAATTAAGCTGATAACTTTTTCAATTACAGCATGACACACAATGCAATAAACGAAACCTCATTTAACCAACCAAAATGCTCAATTAAAATTTTCCTAATTTATATTCATGGACGGGAAGAGCTTTTAATTTTGATGACATTTGACTTTATTGAATTGTCAATATAGCAATTGACTTTACTGCCCTCATCTTACCTGTGGATAGTTTTTAAGTTATCATAATATTTATTGTCGTAGAAATTCACATTCGATTCCCGATTATAATCCTCGTTGTAATCAAATTGACCTCTATCATTCTCATTATTAACACTTTCCATGCTAGCAATTCCGCCAATATCACTGCTGGGATGTGTAATGATATTTCCAAAATTTGGATGTAAACGATAACTAGATGACGGTCTATCGTGGGTGTGTCGATTATGTGGAAAATTAAAGCCATTTCTGGCATATGGATGATATTGATATTGATATTCAGTCTCATTAAAAATAGGTAATGGTGATTCATAGTCTGTGAAAAGGAAGAAATGAAAAGAAAATTGAATAAGTGGCAGACTTTCTTGTATCAATAATTGATTAGCTTTTGTGAGGCATTCATAAGAGAATAATATCCCAATAAGGCTTATGATGCATGAATAAATAAACGTCATAAGGTGTTTATGAGGTCGACAAAGGTTTATATTGGATTGAATTGACATTTAACCCTTTTTTTTTCTTTTCGAATAGCTTCACATGTTATAAATAAGAACATTCATTTTTCCACACATGAAAGAAATTTTTCTCTGTGTTTGCCTTTGTTATCTAAATGCGGTATTGTTCGGTTGACTCAAAAAACCACAAAATTGGCTTGCTACTTGGTATGTTCATGATAAAATTAAGAGCAAAAAAATAAAAGGTAAGAAAGTTCTTGTTCATCATTATCAACACCTGGATATAATTTTCTTATTTTTGGTATGTTCAGTTGATACCGCAATAACCTAATTTCCTTGCGTTTCATTTTATCTTTTCACAGCACAAACATTCTTTTAAAGGTGTTGGCAATATAATTGCTTTGGTTCTGAATATTTTTTAAATTGTTCTGTCAAAAAAATTATTTTGAGGTTATTTAAAATAAATTTTAAGGCATTTAATATTTGAACCTATGCCAAACAAAGAAGACAAAAGAATAGTAGTCAAAACACCAACTACAAGTGGCTACCAAAAACATTATAACCCATAAAGCCCTAATCAAATTACAGATCAATATTCACACTTCATAAATTTCAAATATTTTAATCAAATCTTATTATTTGCCAGAAACACAACAAGATGAAATCAAGGTAAATACCAAATGTCTGTGGTTATTGTAAATAAATACTTGAAGTCTATATAACAATAGGTTTCCATAAGCAAATAATAGGATTTCAATTTAATGCTTTTGAATGTAAATAAAGGATATTTTTCAACAACCAATAAGTCATTAGGGGTCGTTCACTTTTGACTTTCGAAATTAACGGTCATTCTTCAAAAAAGCTGAACCCCCCCCCCCCCCCCCTGGACGTCGTAAGTGAACGGACATTATTTAGATTGAAATTAAAGAGAAATTGAAAATTTAATTGGAACTTGATATAATCCGATCATTGACGATAATAAAAGAGCAAAAGTCAATTGCGTGCACCCCCTAAAAATACCATTGAAATTTGAAAATTTATTTTCGTCTGTAACCTTTAATGAAATTTGATTTTGATTACCGCAGCAATTTCATTAACTTAATTTAAATTAGTTATGACATGAAAATGAGTTTAATGAACCGCTTAAATTGAAATTAATAGGAATCAAAAAGTTATTTACCTCTAGGTTCTTGAGCTATATTCGTCACTTTTCCATACATCGGGGCTCGTATATCATTAAAATCATTTTTATTATGTAATGATGATTGTTGTATGCTATTATGATGTGATTTTGATCGATTATGCTTTGAATTCCACGAGTACTCCTTCGGATGTAGAATTTTCGTATAAATTTCGTCAACCTGTTGAATCAATGATTTCAGTTTATTTTATTCAATTTTTTTCTTCTATTTTTTCCCCGTCTCCGTTACTTTGAATTATTTATAAGTCTTTTATACATTTCTACATGTTCTATTCTTGTTTGAAGGAATGAAAGCTTTTCATGTTAACATGTGTATGTATGTGAATGAGTGCCAGCACTACGCAATAGACTGAAAATTTTCATTTTGTGGTTATGTTGTGAATATTCATTCATCAGCAGTAAATCCTACAACTGTTTACATTTGTGGATTTTGAAAGTATTTCTTTAAAAATATTATTTTCATGAAAATGTCATTGACAATTATGGAATTTCATTTTTGATTCAATGTTCATTTCTGTCTCTATTCTTTATAATATTCTTTTATGGAAATGATTTATGAAGATTTATTTTACATTACAATGAATTTATAGCTTCGTCTTCTTCAACTGTGTCTTCATCTATTGTGAATACACCTTATGTATACTGATTCATACATCATCCTCACTTACATCTCACAGGAGAAATGTATAGGGAATTCTTAAAGGGGTATAATGTTCCTTAACACAACACATTAGAAAGATGAATAAATGGAGTGAATTGGATCAGGAGTATATTTTGAATTTAGGGCAAAGCTTCATGTTGCTTTAGACTTTGCTGTACAAAGGTCATTTATAAGTGACGACTTACTATCCTCCCTTAATTAAGTTTTGACTACACCACTAGAGCAGCATTTAAAAATATCTAAAATGACTCATAATAAAATTAATAATTTATTTCATTCTACTCAGCACTAATTGAGTCATTTATAAAAAAACATAATTGAACCTATCCTGGAGATCTTTAAAAATCCACAAATAAACCCTGAAATATAAAGCTCAATTAATATAATTTCATACTTTTCATCCAACAAAATTGAAGCAGATAAAAAAGTATCAAATTAGAAAATAACGAAGGTCAAATGATGCTAGCACAATCCCTTTTTCTGTTATTGAAGCCACAGAATAGTGGTGAGCATTTCATTTGAATTCATAATATTTATCCTCTTGTGTACATTCATTAAATTAAATATCCTCGCAGAAAGAAGGATATGAAAATAGCAACGAAATTTTAAAACAAGAGAAGTAAGAAGAACAATAAAGGCTTACGATTGCCAGTAGCTAAATGTTTTCCAGTTGTTTCGTATAAAAATAAAAATAATAGAAACAGAAATGAATGTCACGTAGCATGCCTGACCTCCCACTCAATACAACTTGACTCCCTTCGCGACAATTCATTACATTAGAGAAAATTTAATTACAGCAATTTCGGTAGTCAGTAGATAGTTTTTATTAAGTTGCTTTTAGACAGTGTTTCTCAAACTTTGTGTCATGTTACTAAAGTTCCTCAAGAAGCTACCTCAGGACTCAGTAGAGGCGTAGCCAGGAATGAATTAATGTGTGCCGATCAAGTTTAAGTTTAAGAACCACTTCTCTATGACGACGAACTACAAAAAAGCGAAGGGAAGTTCAGTCGTCAAAAAAAAGGCAATAACCCACAAGATGTTTATTTTAATTTATTTTATTTTTCCCGTATTTAAGTGAATTTAACATTTTTCTGCCATCTCCCCATCTCGTGTCAAATGTCTCTTGTGGTAAACTTAAAAGCACAATTAATTAAGAGATTCATGACATTCATTTTCATCTCTCGAGTGGTAGTTATAAAAAGAACATTTAATGTTGTTGTATATGTTTTCTTGTATTTCCATCATTTGCGGGCTGCCATCAAACACATGCTGAGTTTCCTTCAACTCATTCTATTTTCCTTTTTTTTTTTGGTGAACTGTCATTCGCTTGCCTTTATATTTACTTACATACACAGATTTTTATGCTGCTTAACATAGAAAAGCTTTCATATTATGCTACTTAAAAGGATAATTTTGTAGAACAGAAGAAAGAAAGGTTTTTATGTGCTGTTACACAAAAATGCGAGAAATGCTTGTGAATTATAATGAGACAAGATTGTTAAGCCATGTAATGTTAAATTTCAGTATGTCAAAGGAAACTTTTTTATGCAAAATTTTACTCACTGGAACTTTTCATGCATTTTTTATTAAAAGTTTCTTGTGAAACTTTTGGAAAATCTTAACTTTACTGCATAAAATGTCTGCATTTTTAAAATACTTGACAAGTACTGAAAGTGTTAAAACCAGAAGCTGTCAAAAGCTTTTGAATCAATTTACATTTTTTATTATGAATTTTTAATTCAGTTTGTTGGATAATCCAGCTCACTTTTCAATGCTGTAACAATATTTTCGGATGAGATGTGAATTTTATGCTAATTGATATTAAATTATCATTGAAAAGTTTATCTTTATCGTCGTGAGCAGAGTTTACTTTTCATTAAGGGTGACATTAAATATTCAATAATTTTCAAGGTTTTTTTGAACATTACATGCCGGTTTAGGGTAATGAGAAAATTTTAAAGATATCAATCATTTAGGCACTGTCAGACTTCATGACTGTTATCTCACTTATAACATTATGTGACTGTGATTGAAATTAACTTTAGTCTTTGGGAGTTATAACTCAAAAGGTTACTCAAAGGCTTGATTTCTTAACTTGAAATCAAATTCAATTACATTTTGTAAGCCCCTCCAAAATTAAAAAAGTTTTGGATATGCAACTAGTCCTAGTCATCCACATTCTGCATTTAAAAGACTGAAATGCATATAAATAGACAGTCAAAACAGCCACAGAAGAAAATCAATAATTTGGCAATTTATTGACCCCCAAAAGACACACAATAAGCAGGAGACGCTACATAAAATATGAAATATCCTCTCACTCAATATTTGTTCCTTATTAAACTTTTAAAACGAATGATTTATTGATTCTTTTAAGCATATGAAGCGACTCATGATGATTTATTACTTTCACATTATTTGTAATAGACACTGCTATTAATAGAAGGGAAAAAAAATTCGTTCAACATTTTCGGTAGTCATTACTTTTAAGTGAGAGTTAATGGTCTAATTTTTGTGAATCTAGACATTTTTGTTTGAGAAATACAAAAGTAGATGACAAGTGAATTTCCGAGTGAATGGAGAAGATAAATGAGGAAATCGTCTTTGAAATTTTTAAAATTAATCGACAATTATTGAGCAATTAGCATTAATTTTCAAAAAAAATGATATAGCTTGTATCAGACAAATTTGGTATTAAATAAATTCAACCGAAATCCAACCGAATTTCGGTCAACCGTTGTTCGGTTGAACCGAAATTTAACCGAATTTTAATCGAATTTTCAGCCGAATTTCGGTCGGTCCTATGAGACTCGCCCAGACATCCTCAACTACTAGTAATAAAATTTAATTAAAATATTTAAGCATCTGTTCCATTTTAATTTTATATCCATCCAATTTTATCAACTTCCATAAAACTTTAATTCATTTCCATCTCATTTCGTATTCATCAACATTGACGGGGAATCAAAAAAAATCTTATTTCTTACCTTTTTCCCGTTAATTAGCCACGTGATGGTTGGAGGAGGCTTAGCACGAGTCGTTGTACAATTGGCAATCAAATTCTCACCCACGACGAAAAGACGCTTCTTAAACATAATTTTTGGCGGTCCACTTTGTTTCACTGTTTTTTTATGATGAAAAAGAAGAAAAGACAAGGACATGAAATAAGCTTAATGAAATTATGTACATAAAAGGAAGCACGTTCTATGAATGAATGTATGTATGTCGCTCAATAAGAGTGTAGGCGGAAGAGTAAGAAAGACATGACAGTGAATATAAAAAAAAGGTTCGTAAAACAAGTCAAGGGGAGAACACATCAGGAACTCTGAATAATTGACGAGAGAAGCATCATGTCAATAAGATTCAGTCGTTCCTAGTCATCAACATACTAGAAGTTGCATGACAACTTTATAAGTTACTGAATTTTTCTAAGTTAACTTCCAAGTCACTGCAACTCGAAAATATTTTTTTATCAATGCTGATTCTCCCCCTAACCAGTTAAGTATGGTACAAAATTAATTCATCACATACCAATTACGTGAATGTGCTCCTCCTTCGATGCCTTTGTAAATATTGGATTATCGATTGTCACCTCACAAAAATATGGAGCTGACGCTTCAAAATCCAAATTTGTCAACGTCACTTGGCTTCGATTTGATCTCGAGAACTGCAAATAAAAATAAATAGTAACATTATGCATATGGTTTTTAGAATGAGATTCAGAACCTTTTTTCAGCTTTTTAGACTTTAACTCTATATATTCTTTATTATGTGTCATGTCATGTATTATAATGAGGATTGAAAGGGCAAATTCAGACAAAAAATATTCTTGAAAATGGAGACCAAAGCTATAAATGATGATGAAGGAAGAATGAAAGGTTCTTTAGGTTGAACAGATAGAGAGAATAAAAGAAGAATCTCATAAATTTATTAGTGGCTTTTTAGCCATTTTCAATCCTCATCTTGATTTTTCCCTCCTTTCCTCATCTTAAATGGTCTTGGTTTAGACATTTTCATTTATTATAATGTTTACAGAATGAACGAGTAAGATTGAGATATATTTTTAAGTGTATAAGCCACAGGGATTCTTCTTCTATACTGATTTTGTAGAGATCATAAGTTTATGCTGATGGAATATTTATATGAGGACCAAAAGTCACTGAATACCCTTTTTTTTCACCGAAATCATGCTTCTCTCCCTTTTTTTTATCTCATTTAATTTTGATTTGAATAAAATGTGCATGACGGTTTTCAATGAGCAAATAAAGCTACTGAATTTAGGTCAATATTGACTTCCATGATGATTCCCATACAAACAATGTGGCTATGTATTAGCATAGTGTCATAAAGTGTCGTTATGTCTTTCCTTTAATTATAATTATTGTTTATTTGCGTTTAATTTAAGTGTAATGTCTTTTATTTAATTAAATTATAATTTTTAGAAAATATGTGTTCTTGACACTTTGGACTGCGCTTTTATAAGAGGGTGTGCAATTACGAGCGAATTCGCTCGAGCACAATGCAGTTCAAAGTGCGGCAAACAATTCAAATACAAAAGTTCGTTACATATTGTACTTAAATGTTGACTTAGCTAGAATTAAGGCATGAATTAGGCTTAAGTTACTTTAAGTGTGTAAATAATATTGTAAATAACTAGCCTGTACATTAGATTTAAGGTATTTTCACAAATTGACTACAAGAAATGAATATTTAAATTATTAACTGTCATTCTCTTAATGACATACTCGGGGGAGCCAGAGAGCAACTGCTTGATATTGTCCAATTTTCGTCACTGCTCTATTTCATTCCTGCTAATTTGTTGATTCTGTTGTGCCTTTATTATATTCGTTCGTTTATTTGCGTAAGCTATTCCATTTCGCTAGCATTTGCTGCACTACCTTCTGCCGGTATGCTTTGTTCTTCTTGCTCTTCATCAGATGATGAGCTTTGAGACTCATAAGATTCGTTGATTTCCTTCTCAGCCTCTTCAGCATTGTGACTTGAATTCATTTGACTTTGCTTTCTTCCATTAACATCATTGTTTTTATGTAATGTGATGTGATGTTTCGCAGTGCATCTTAAGTTTTTGTTTACTTTATATCCACAGCCTATCTTTAGAACACAATTCTTCGCCAAATGATCAGTTGATATCATACAACTCGTACATAAATGCTTTGAATTAGCTAAATCATATCTCTCGTTAATTTCCATATCACGGTAAGTTCTGCACTCAACCGTGTAATGATTTGCATTGTCACAAATCAGGCATTGTTTTGAGATATTATTCACCATCTCAAGATTGTATCCTATATATCTAGCTGACTGTTCATCTCTAATCTCAAATTTGTAGTCATCATTGCTTGGATGACTTGAGGATATTGAGTGAACTTGATGCTTGCTTACTGTTGAGTTGATGTTTGATTTATCTTGATAATTAGTTGTGTATGCACCGATTGGAAGCGTTCTTGATAAGCTATTCAGGAACTCAAACTGCGTATCTAAACGTTCCATTCTTGTTGTTGCATTTGGAAATTTGTTGAAGAAGTATTCATAGTACATTTGTTGATGAAATGGTTCCAGTTGATTATGGATCTTTGATGAGATATTTGAATCTGTTGCTAATAATCCTGCATAAGTACATGCAGACATATAGTTTGCAATATATGTTGTTATTTCTATGCATGATGTGTGAGTCAGAGGCTTTGGAAGCTTGACATTAAGCAATTTCTGTTTTGCTGTTTCCAATATTATATTCGAGTTGCCATAACTCTCTTTCAACAATTCCATTATTTGATTAGCTGTCATATAATCCATAAGCGAGTCTACTCGAGCTAAAGCTTGTCCATTTAATGCTTGCCTAATTTGATGCTTCATCATTTCCTCTGAATACTGTCCCTCTCTCCAATTACGTTCAACATCTCGTTGAAATGTCAACCATTTCTCAGGCTTTCCATCAAATGCAGAAATTTTTGGCAGATGTCTCCTACTCTCATTCAGAGTCAGCATATTAATATGTTGCATTGTAACTTCCATTTGAGGATTAACAGCTGGCTCGTTTAATTCTTCCAATTGTATGCTATCAACTTGCTGGGGATTGTTTCTCGTATTATTAATTGATAAAGGATCTGAACTGCACCTAAATACGCCTTGATTCGTATTTCTGTTGAACCCATTGCCAACATTGTTATGCACAACGTTATTTCTGTAGGATGTCTTATGCAAGCTTTCTATAGTATCCGCAACAACATTGTTCTGCACAATGTTGTGACTAGATGAGGCATTATTCATGCTTAAATTTGTTTTAATCGACGAGATACCAAACAAACTCCTTTGTTGTGATAATGAATCCTTAATGCTTTCATCCAGAAGTGTTGATGCTTTATTTATATCCAGAACTGCATTTGAATACGATGGATTCGTCTGATTCACATTGGCTCGCGCTTTTAATAATTGTTGAAGTTCATTATTTTCCCGTTCTAATTTATCACATCTCTTTGATAGATTGTTGATAACATCAGTAATCTCAGGAGGAATAATGCTTTGACTTGATGTGAGATGAAATGTATGGTCTTGTTCATCATCACTTTCCATTTTGATTTGTTTGAATCGATTTCTTGTTAAGCTTCTTTTAATTAATGCGCTATCGAGCGACTTCAATTTTTTATGTGCTTTCAATTAATTGACTAAAACACGTCGTTCTGCACGACGTTTTGATGATTGCGTCTTTATACAAGACGACTTAAATATAAATTGCGTCCTTCTATCAGACGACTTGACTATAAATTGCGTCCTTCTTTCAGACGACTTGATGTGGATGCGTCTTTTTATTCGACGTCTTTGTTTCAGCTTCCTCTCAAGATGACCTGGTTTAATATTCAGCGTCTGGATTGCTCTCTGCTACGATAAATAGAAATAAGTAACTTGAATGCTGATGAAACTTGACTGCACCACTTGACTGATGACTTGGATTGAATGCGTCGCTTAATTGACGACTTTTGAAATTGTTGACTGCGCGACTTGACTGACGACTTTGTTTTGTTTGCTTGTTTTGAATGTTTACATTCACTGGATGTTGGAGTAACCAGTGATCCAGTTGTAATAATATGAGTAATAATGTGCACGACTATAGCTCGTTTCGCACGAAACTATATCGTGAGTGAACAATGAAAATGTGTATCTTATGCGAACGCACGTGCGCTAGAAATAGAAGAACAGAAAGGAATTGATATGTGGTAGAAGGTTACCACACGTTGAGTCCAAATTCTTCAATTAATCAGCTGGTCTTAGCTTCAAATTATGTTTATAACTGCTGGTCAGTTTAAGCTGGATCCCATTTATTGGCTGAACTTGATTTGCGAACTGGATCTCACACAAAGACTGTTCCAACCTCAAATTTCCGCGCTAATTGTCAAATATTTTAATTTATTGACATTTATCACTGACTTTCCACTAATTTATTACGATTTTATTGTTCTTTATGCATTGGACTTTCATTTATTGACGTTAATACTATATTTAATCACTTTCTATTTTCTATGTTTCACGTTGTTTACCACTTTTAATTATTCTCACCAGTTTTTGTAATATATTTTCTAAAAAGATGTCATAAAGTGTCGTTATGTCTTTCCTTTAATTATAATTATTGTTTATTTGCGTTTAATTTAAGTGTAATGTCTTTTATTTAATTAAATTATAATTTTTAGAAAATATGTGTTCTTGACACTTTGGACTGCGCTTTTATAAGAGGGTGTGCAATTACGAGCGAATTCGCTCGAGCACAATGCAGTTCAAAGTGCGGCAAACAATTCAAATACAAAAGTTCGTTACATATTGTACTTAAATGTTGACTTAGCTAGAATTAAGGCATGAATTAGGCTTAAGTTACTTTAAGTGTGTAAATAATATTGTAAATAACTAGCCTGTACATTAGATTTAAGGTATTTTCACAAATTGACTACAAGAAATGAATATTTAAATTATTAACTGTCATTCTCTTAATGACACATAGCTTTTAATAGAAGTCAAATAAATGTCCAATGACAGTTTCAGTTGTTCAATATTTACAAACTGTTTGTAATTGAATCATAGTTGTTGATGATGATGTGTTTGCCACCTATCAGTTCAGAGTGTTGGGATATTTAAAGTGCAGACTGAATAAATTTGCGTTCAAATTATTTTGAGTCTTTGTACTACTATATTTTAGTCCAGTGAAAGATAGCTAGATCCTGTTGCTATCAAAAAGCGAGACTTTAAAAAAGCATTTGGTGATTAAGTCGATTCGCTTCCGATAGCTCAGTAAGAATAGTGCATAGGACCAGAAATTGTAGAATGTGAGTTCGAGTCTTACTTAGGACAGTTATTCTTTTGTCATATTAATGTTCCTGCATCCTCAGTTCTAGATGTTCGAATAACTACCCCGAATAGCACAAGTCGGTTAATAGAATAGAAATCCGGCATGACTATGGAATGATGCTGATAGATTTACCAACTTGTGCCATTCGAGTACATTAATTCATCCCCCCTTACTTTAGATCCCTTAAAATATAATCAAAAAAATTAATATTTATAGATTCTTGTCCCCAAGAAATCCCATATGGCAATCCGTAAAAAATTGGCATCTAAAATAAGAGGATATAAATAGAAGCATCTCATTTTCTAAGAGTACATCTGGGACTTCATAAAAGTATACTTATTTGCCTTAATAAAAACGAATCCATTTTTCATGCTATCATATTTTCGTCAACCTAAACTAGACGGAGTGTTTTGTAAAATTCATTTATAATTCAATCTAGGCTCTATGTTGTTTATGCCTCATAAATATTGAATAAAAGCTTTAAAAAAATTGACACTCGATATTTCTTCTTTCGTCAAAATATTTCCAAAAAGGATTAATGCGAAGCGTTCAGAATTGACATTTTGCAAAATATTTTTTGATGAATTTTCAGATATCCAAAAAAAAAGTTTTATGACGAAAAGAAGAAAATTTTCTTGTTGCGATCGTAAAAAATTTCATTTTTGTCAATCAAAATTGGGGAAAAGGAAACAAATTTATTGACTAATAAAATCATTAAGAAGAAGAAAATAAATTGTATCAATGTCCATTGAAGAGCATAAAAAGCATCATATTTTGCCATTACGAATACGTTTTTTGACATCATTCAGCACAATATATGTAACTAAATGTTCCATAAAAATTTACGACGCTATTTTTATTATTTTTAATATGTATTTGCTTTTGATTTATGTTCATCTCCATCTGCATTAAATTTGTATTATTTTGTATTTATGTCGACTAAAACACATCTACCAGCACATACATTCATCTAACGTCGCATGAAATATGCAGAAACGGAAATGTACTACATTGTAATACATAACAATAATTCTTCGTTGCTACATTTTTATTCCTATGCCTCCTACATTTTTTTTTCGTCGTACAGCATTTGTTCCTTAGTAATATCGTCTAGTATCCATGTTTTATAGAATAACAGATTTTCTGTTAAGCTATAAAATTCTAATCACTTGTAACACCATTTCAAGCTGCTTCAGAATTGAAAATATAATTAAATTCAACGAAAACTGGATCATTTGAGATACTTGAACTGAGATTTATCAAGCTTGTCGTTCAGGTGCATGACAACGAAGCAGGAACTATGTATTGTTTTTTTCTTCTTATACCTTAGCCAGGTTGGACCTGAAGTTAAGTGTATTTCTAGACAAAGCAATTCGATTTCATCTTATGATCAAGTAATGAGCACCTGAACCGAGAGATATTCGACTCGTGACTGAATCTGATACAAAAATTAATCTGCTAAGTTCAAACTTCATAATTATATTGGCATAGCTTCAGATAGCAATTCACTAGGTCACTTCAATACATATATCAACAGTTCACTTCCTTCGTTTGCCAAAACATACATGCTGTCTAATCCCTCATCCAGAATAACCCATAAACTTGCTATCTCCTGTTTCCAAACAAACGTGGGATTAATAAATTTTATTTCCAGTAACGCAAATTTAATGTTTATGTCATATAAATATGAATTTGAGTCTCCGGCACATATGCGATCTCACCACTAAGCATTGCTTATGGAATATGCCAGTATTTATGTTAACTGTATGTCAACTCCTATAGGAAGGAACATGGTGTTTAATTAATTAATGAATTAATGTCGAAGTCACGAAGCTTTAATTTTTTTTTAAACAGGATAAGGCATTCATTCTAAAGTTCAGGAGGTCATGAGAATAGATGCGGTTCTATTTTAATTAAATTTTATTAATTAATGTTATCCACAAAAATTTATGGAAAGGAATAAATAATTGTAGTTCTCATGGATGGAAAAATTAAATCTTAAAGCAGAAGGTATAATCAACATGTTTACGTTCAAAATAAGAGCACTTCTGGGAAATTTGCTACCTATCTTCCGCTTGGTTGAAATTTTCTGTTCAAGGCTTTCGACTCTTTTGCATCAGTGACGAAAACATAGCAGTTCTTATAAGATACACAAATTTTTCCAAAAATGTCCACGATGCCATACAGCAACAGCAAGCACACGAGTCAAAGAAAAATAGTTGAGCATGTAATATTCATGAGGAAAGTGTATAGCCTTAAATGACTCAGAAAAAAAATCTAAATTTAAATGATACAGGCTTACATGTGGAAAAGGTAACGCATTAATTTTCGGTTCTGTGACCTTTTTAATGAACAAAAATTGGATATAATCTAATGTTGTTGTCTATGGACATGATTTTTAATGGAGAGTACAGAAAATGAGGAAAAAGTAACACATTAATGAGGTTTGATGGGAGGAAAAAAAGTTCCTTTGTGTCTTCTTTTTACTAAATCTGCTTTACATTTAATTTAATTGCAGTGTTGGTGCTGATTTTAGAGCATAGAAAAATAGATGAAAGGGTTTTTTTCCGGGTCATAAAGCAGAAAGGATTAAAGAAAATACGAAGAAATTGGAATGTGGAAATTAATTAAGAATTAAACAATAGTTCTGATCGGACAAACAATCACTAGCAATTAAGCTTACTATTTTGTCTCTGGTGAGCTGAAATGGCTCGGTCGAGGAATGGTTTAAACTTCGGTACCTAATTATTGCAATATCGACACAGCGATCATTGGTTCGAGACTGAGTATGAGAAATTTTTGACTTGTCCTTTTTCGAATCATATGTACTGAAAATGAGGCTCACACAGCCTTCCCTTGTAGGCTAAAGGCAGAAATGTCATCAAAAAGTGGTTCGGGTCCCACTATAAATTGTAGGTCTACGTTTGAGTGCAGTGGTTTGGCGCATCCTCACTCGTTAAACTCTCATTAGCTGCGAAACGCCCTACCGCACCTCTGGATCACAATTATTCTGTCTAACCATTTTTACACCTCTGCACTGATTAAGAGCATCAATTTTTTTAAACGCGTAGCTATCCCCAAGTATATCAAGATATTGAACTCCTACACAACGTTTGTTAAGAAAATGTTTTTCTCACTGTGTCTTCAGCAAGATAAGAGGACAAGATAAACATAAAATTGTTGGGATTCTTACATTTTGTTTTGTGTTAGGTCAAAATTTTTGGTTGCGGGTGTAAAATTCCTTTCAAAATTTAAGTTCAAATATTTTTAGAAAGGAAGTGGAAGTTTAAATAAGAATGTGCTAAATTTTGCAAGATATTCAATTTTTTAGAGGCCTATGGGAATTCCTAGAATGAGGGTTTTGTGAATATTTCTGTTTAAATTTCAAAACAAGTTTTATTTTGATCTCATGAAAATACCGCAGGCATGAACACAAAGAATTGCTATGACATTTAAATATTATTGAAAAATATCACAATAATTCAATAAGATTCTATTTTTGTTATTATATACTCACATCAATATCTGCTCCCGGCGTTGAAAAATTCCTAAAGGGCGGATTTCTTTTATGTATATATTCGAAAAATTTATGTTCGCTACTCCGTAGCCATGCTACCTGTAAGTACATAATATGAATATGAAGATACATTAAATGTCATATTTTCCATCACATCTCACATATATCGCATTATTTTCACAATGTGAAGTGAAAAAAAAAGTTGAAGTATTATGAGGTAGATTAAGTACTTATTCTTGTGTATTTTTAAATCGAGACTTTTTACTCGCTACGTTTACTTTAAGTAAATTTATAAAAATGATGTGAACGACACTTGACGAGAATGGATTTTTATGAAGACATTTGTTTGATTTATTCAAGATTAAGGCTTTGTTTAATTGAGTGAATTGATGTAGATTGAACAAGCTTTTCATTCTTCAGACTTCATTATCTTCATGCTGCTGCTGTAATTGAGAGCAATTTATTTCATCCTTAGACATAGCAAAGAGCGTCAATTGAAAATAGATGATAATAAATAATCTGATGCCAAGTTGCACAGAATATGGAGGGAGTCGAAATGTTTTCGTAGCTTTTTTTTTGGTACCAACCAATAAATCAGCTAATGGCGTAAAAATGAAGCATCGTTTATACAGCATGATACGAGCATAAAATTATAATAATAAATGGAGAAAGTTTAGTCAAATTGGCGTTTATTGTCGTTGAAAGATTTACGATAAATAAGCACTTTCTTTCCAAATATATTTTATATTTCTTTTTCCTTTATTCTCTCTTAATCTTACTTCGACTGAACGCCATCTCAGCAATGGCAGTCTCAAGATTGAGGAGGATGTGGCAATGATATTGTGAGAAGTAAAGTGTGACATTGATGAAGGAAAAGTTGGAATGAGAGAGGGAAATGCTTTTCCTTTCAATACATTGGGTAAGCAGCAATGTGTTAAAGGTTTCAATGAAATTGTTCAAGGTAAACGTGAGACAAATTTGGCGATAAATTAGGACAAGGATTATTAATTCAAATGAGCTGATGAAATGTTTGCCAATAAATAAATGCATATTTTATTAGGGTTGTTAAGAATTTCAGGCAGTCAATTGTTAACAGAGTCAATAGATTGTGAATGAATTGAATAATCATGATTCTAACTCAAGGTTGTCTAAAATAATTCTCAGAAATGCCATTGAAAATAATTGATTACCCATCATTCAAACAATATTGAAGTAGATTTATCATTATTAACCTTGGATGGATTTTTTTGTTCATGATCTAAACTTTTGGGGATGTTTCTTTGATAATAAATCAAGAATTTGAAGATTCGTAACAAAAAAAAAATCACAAAAAATTGTAAGACATACGATACCATACATCTAGTGGGTTGGGATCTTTTGTGACAATACTTCACAATTTTATAAAGGATTGAAAAATGAAGTGCATTTAAGGAGTAAAATAAAATTTAAATAATTCATTCTTTCGGGTATCAACCATAAGAAAACAATAGAAAATCAAATCAAAGCCTAGCAAGGATGTCATTGTATTCAATATCTCTAATTTCAAAAAGACATCGCAGGCAGATATGACTTTCAATGTTCTTGCCAACCCGTGTGCATCAATTGGTATGACAGATAATAAATCAATACTCCATTAAAAGTTGGGTTGTTTTATTGCTCTCAATATTGCCTACATGATCAAACAATAGAAATATTCCAGCCTATTGTAGAAGAACAGTGTTGCATTCTGGCCATTTGTCTGGATCAGATAAATTCTGAGACAGAAATTTCTTCATAAAGATCGATTCTATATGAAGATAGAAAATCTAATCTACACAAAGATTATTTCTACATAAAGATTCTGTCTACATAAAGATTCGATGCAGATGTCTACAATTCTACATTCTTCTCTGATGTAGACCTGGAAAAAATGTAGAATTGTAGACATCTACATCGAATCTTTATGTAGACAGAATCTTTATGTAGAAATAATCTTTGTGTAGATTAGATTTTCTATCTTCATGAAGAATCGATCTTTATGAAGAAAGTTTCTTAGCTAGACAAAAACTATTGAAGAATCTACATTCTTCATCTAGTGTAGACATCTACATTTGCAACACTGTAGAAGAATCAAACTTCACTTAAGTAAGATAACATCTTAGTCAGATTTCACATCAATACAAATTCCAGAATCTTCCCCATTACAACTTCATATCTTCACATTGTATCCTAATCCACAATTACAATTTTTTGCCACACTACACACATCTTATCCGATTAAACAAACGAAAGGAAATATCGTATGAGTAAATAGATGTAGAAAAATGGAAAATAGATTGTAGATTGCGATAATGACATAGTAAATGGCCAAACGTACCTTATACAGACTATCCAAGTCAACATTATGTCGACAGTAGAGTGTGACACTCGACCCTTTCTCAACATACTTTTTTGTTATTAGTTGAACTTCCACATTCGATTGTCCATCTGGAAAGAAAAGATGAGGAAATTTTTTTTTGTTATGTTTCTTCTTAATTTTGTTTATGTTTATGTAACTTTATATACACAATCATGCATGTTTGTACACAATCAAATACATTATTATGCTATTGAATCCTTCTGCTAACTTTATTCTTTCATTTTCATTTCTTTTGTCTTGTTTTTCTTTTGTCACGAAGTTATGTTTTGATCAACAAATTTCCATTCGGATCATTATCATTTTTACTGATGTTATTCACAAATAAATTCGAAAATAAGGAAGTAAATAAGGATCTACGTGAATGTAAACATAAAACTCAAGTTATTGAGTTACTAAATAGATAAATATGTTGTGAGATAAACATCAATGTTTTCGGGTGTTTTGGAAAGAAAGTTTGCTTCTGGATAGATGTGACTTTTTGGGATTATTAAGGATGATTTTTGATGAATGACGGGTATGATAATTTTTACGATAGTTTGTAAAAAATTTGTTTTTAATTAAATTCCTTAAACCCAGAGAGTCAAAAACATAAAGCATGAACATTTGGTCAAAAGAACTCCTCCTCTTCCCCTTAAAGTGTTTTAAAAAGCTGTAAAATTGACTACCCAAGGTTAAAGTGAACCTAAAACACATTGTAAGACTTCACCTTTCCTGACATTCTACGAAATTTTAAACGCCTACCATATCAAATATTGAACATCATAAATGATAGATCCCTTAGGCATTAAAAGTTTGTTCCTGCTATATAATTCCACTTACATTCCCAAGATGTCTACATTGAACTCAAAAAAATATATCACCAATCTACAATATATAGGTTGACTTGAAGATTTTCCAGATAAAACTTTGTGGTATATAATTTAATGCCACCGTATTATAAAGAAATCCCTTATATCAACATTTTCATAGTTACATGTTGCCATAAAGTGAGTCATGTTTATAAGCCAATATATAGTTGACCTGATTTCAATTTCTTTCCAAACTAAAGAAAATGATTTTGTCCTTTCTTTAAGGTATATGACAATTTAAACACTGACTTTAAGTCCCAAAAATAATCTTTTGACCCAACATTGTAGAAATTTAAGAATAAACAGCTTTAATATAAAAAAGTCATTTCTCGAAGGATGAAAAATAATTTTCAATTGACTTTTTGAATTATTGAAAAAGTTTTCAATGCCTTAAAAAATTTAATAATAATAATTTAATTTCCAAAAATATCCTGATCCCTTTTCCACAATTGACGTCTTATTCAGGAGTGAAAGGAGCTTAATCGAAAATCCATATCCAATTTTACACACATGCTATATAAAGTTCTATTTTTATATTTAAAAAAAATTTGGAAATGTAAGCATGAACGGAAATAAGCATTGAGATCAGTAAATTCTTTTGAAATTTAGGAATCGGTATTTTTATCAAAATGAGGAATGATAACAACTTATTGTGTATCATTTTATGCTTTTATCAGGGTAAGTTTGGGTTGGTGTTTAGTTTTTCTGTAATTTTTGGAATCTGGATCAATTTAATATTGAGTCGATGTAAGATTCCTATCGTACAACCACTAGGAACTAGTTAAACCGGTCTATATGGCTCCCTCTTATTCATCAGTTTCCATAAATACCAAATTCAAACGAAAATATCCCGAAACTCTCTTACTGCCAAATACCCATTGAATTTTTACAAATATCCTTAACAAACAAACGTGGGAGGAACCAACATTTGTTTCTATATTAAGCACAAAACTCTTCTGCCATCTTGCATCATCAAAAACTAAACTATTTCCAATAATAAAATTTATATATTGAATGGAAAATTTGTTAACATCATAAACATAGATAAAAATTTCTCTCAAACCAGAGGTCGAAGTCGATGAAGCAAACTCACTTCACTTCACTAAAATTTCAATCGGTTTTAAGTCAGCTCGAGTGAACTCATTTTTTTCGTGTTCACTCGAGTCGACTTTTAACCGAGTTGATTTTTTCGTGTTCACTCGAGTCGACTTTTAACCGAGTTGATATTTTCGTGTTCACTTTAGTCGACTTGAAACCGACTTGATTTTTTCGTGTTCACTCGAGTCGACTTTTAACCGAGTTGATTTTTTCATGTTCACTTTAGTCGACTTGAAACCGACTTGAGTTCACTAAGGAAAAAAAAATGTAATATACCAAACTGCTTTCTGCTGGTGCTTGTGAAGTATATGTGATTACATACAAAATTGCAGAATTTGTCCTTTTTTACTTTTCATAACCATATAGCAAACTAAACGAATTAATTTAAAATATTTGCACTATAGATTATTTTTCTGATTTGAAATTATTTATTACGAACTGCTACAATTATGAATGAAATTTATTTTAATTCACACCATATTTCCAATTTTGGTGAATATATTTTAATTTCAGATTTATTTGTTTGATCTCTGGAAAAAGGATACAAAAATTGTGCTGCATAATATATTTAAATTTTAATCTTCAAGCATAATAAAATAAATTTAGATCTGTAACACTTATTTTTTATTTATAGAGTTAAATTTCTTCAACGTACAAACATAAATAATGAAAAAAATTTAAAACTTGAATTATAATAAACTGGAAGTTTGAAAAATATTTTAAATTAATTCGTTTAGTTTGCTATATGGTTATGAAAAGTAAAAAATTACAGAAGTCCTCGTGTTATTGATCGAGGGACTTAAGCGCATTTTTGTGTTAGCGATCAGCATTTGATCGTCTATTTATTTTGCGTTCATTTACAGATCATGAGAAAATTAGAAGATCATTAATTTTAGTGTAATTAACAAAAAGTTACAATGAATGCTCATATAGAAAGGATTATTATTTAACGGTCAATAAATAATTTGAAATTTTCCCGCTATAAGTTGCACTACGAAAAAATTAATTATAGTGTAATTAAATAATTTGTTGCAATGAATTTCCATACAGAAAGGGTTTACTATTAAACGGTTTTTTGTAATTCAAATTTTCTAACGGTCAATAAATAATTTAAAATTTTCCCGCTATAAGTTGCACTACGAAAAAATTAATTATAGTATAATTAAATAATTTGTTGCAATGAATTTCCGTACAGAAAGGGTTTATTATTAAACGGTTTTTTGTAATTCAAATTTTCCAACGGTCAATAAATAATTGAACATTTCTCGCAAAACTAAACTAGAAAATCATTGATTATAGTATAATTAACAAACAACTCCAATGAAATTCCATTTAACATGCGTTTGTCATTTAACGGTTTTTTGAAATTCAAATCTAATAAAGGATGTTAAGTTTCTGAACATTTCTTGCAAAAGGACACTAGGAAATCATTAGTTATAGTATAATTAACAAATTAGTGCAACAAAATTTCATTAAAAAAGCATTTGTCATTTAACGGTTTTCTGAAATTCAAATGTTCTAACGGTTGTTTAATATTTGAAAATTTCACACAAAAAGTTGCAATCATCACTTGTTTTTGTATATGAAATAGAAAAATCATTAATTACACTATAAATACACCTTTTTAGGACTTTTAAGCATTCGATGGGCCGATAAATCGATAGTAAAGAAGCTATTAAAGCAAACCCCAGCTCTCTACGAAGTCTGGATAAAAATTTTTTTTCAGACGAACGAACAAAGTGAGTTATTAAGCTACCTTTTCGAAACAAGTTTCAAAAATGCGCTAAAAAGGACAAATTCTGCAATTTTGTATGTAATCATATATACTTTACAAGCACTAGCAGAAATCAGTTTGGTATATTACATTTTTTTTTCCTTAGTGAACTCAAGTCGGTTTCAAGTCGACTAAAGTGAACATGAAAAAATCAACTCGGTTAAAAGTCGACTCGAGTGAACACGAAAAAATCAAGTCGGTTTCAAGTCGACTAAAGTGAACACGAAAATATCAACTCGGTTAAAAGTCGACTCGAGTGAACACGAAAAAATCAACTCGGTTAAAAGTCGACTCGAGTGAACACGAAAAAAATGAGTTCACTCGAGCTGACTTAAAACCGATTGAAATTTTAGTGAAGTGAAGTGAAGTGAAACGACTTCACTTCACCAACTTCGACCTCTGTCTCAAACTCCTTTTTTATCGTCAACATAGACTTTATGTTGTTCTATCCGAAATGACCTTTTATATTATAGATGAATGAATGAGTAAAATGGATAACTTTATTTAATAAACTTTCTTGCTTTTTCTAGCCATTCGCAAATATTTTCCCTTTTTAACTGAAAGCGTACAAAATTTAAGGAAGATAGATTCTGGCTACATGCTTCTTTTTAGAGTTTGCTGAATGTTTGTAAAGGAAAATTCTGAACTGACAAGGATGTGGGATGCTGCGGCACGTGGAATTTTAAAGTTTTTTCATAATCCCACGGGTGCTTATGTATCAGGGGCGTAGCCAGAAAATTTTAAAGGGGGGGGCCCATTTCCGAAAATTAAAAAACCGTTATTTTGTATCCTTAAATCTACATTCATTCTTCATAAGTTTAAATATTTAATTCATTATTCATAGATTAAATTTAATTTTTCGTGTTGATTTTGACATTTCTTTCATCACTTCCTCTACATTAACTGGTTCTTCTCTATAAATACTTAATAAAACAATCATCAGATTTTCGTAGGGGGGGCCCGGGCCCCCTATGGCCCCCCCCTGGCTACGCCCCTGTTATGTATCATGTGGCATCAATTTATCTGAAAATGGCAAGAAGTCTCAAAAATAAAGCTTCTGCATATTTTTATTTGCTGCCAAATTCAGTTCAAAATCCTATTTATTGAGTATTAAATGAGAAGCCCCAAGTTGAACTTTTATAATCCTCTTCGTACTCATTTAAATAGCAAGATACTCAAAAGGGTCAACAATATTAAAGTCTTTGACATTTTTCGATCTGATAACAACCACATTGTGTCTCATTAATCTTTTGAACAACAAAATGAACCACAAAAAAACTTTGGCGTCAATCAAACGCCTGAAAACATTTGACTGGCTTCCTTCATTTGCACATCTTTCATAGACATG